GCTGCAACTGAAGACATAAAATATCCTTCTAGTCATAAATTAGCTCTTTGGAAGCCAAACCTTGGCACCAGAGCTTTACAACCTTCAATTAGCAGGAAAAGAAGTATTTGAATGACTGTGGTATTGACATCTGTAGGTCTGCATAGTAATCATTCCTAATAGAAGAGAAGATCTGTTTGAGGAGGGTTTGCATGGCTAATTAACTACCAGGGAGAATATGTAATTTTTTCATGATCCCCTGATTGTCACCTTTCTCTCGTGATACAATTACATTTTATTGTAGCAAGAGCCTCGCAAACCAGTTGTCAGCACTGTTTACATGTTGCAGTAGGCAGAACAAAAGTTCATGTTTAATGAAAAGCCACTGGATTTTGATCTTGGTAATTATGGAGACTTCCTTTAACAATTTTATTGACTTTTGTATTTTTATCATTTTTCCAACAAAACAAAGAACCATTTCCGTGACAATGTCCCTTACAGTGACAGAAACAAAACCATTTCTGTGACAGTGCCCCTTTCAGTGATGGTCAGCACTTAATCTGCACTAATTTAAGATTTGCACCCTTTTTTATAGTTTTCAATTTCATAAGCTTCACTGAAATATAAAAGTTGTTTAAAAAATACTATATCTTTTTATATAACATTCTAATTATTATCTTCTACTATGTGCAGTTCACCAAATCAAAGAGTATTTGTTGTGAAACCAAATTTTTAAGCAGAGAATAATACAATGTAGAACATTTTCCATGAGCTTTTATGAAAAATATTTTATTCCTTTTGATTAGAGTGCTTTGATTATAAGTAACACTATTTAAAAATCACATCTAACTTTAACATCTTAATTTCTGTTAACAGTGTGATCAGCCTGGATATGTAGCTAGTATTTCACATTTCATAGCATACACTTAATTAATGACTTTATTTCTCTACTGTTTTATGTGTACATATATATTTAAATATGTCAAAAATATATATAATTTCACTATCTGTGGGTAAATTGCATCTTAATTTTAATTTCTACAGTTTACAGGTTTTTATTTATGCTATAAAAATCAAAACTGAAAATGTTGAAACTATGCCTACATCACCATCCTGTCCTCGGTTCTGCTGAGTGATGCACACAGGAAGGTGTCTGCAGCTGGTGGTTCCCTAACAGAATTAGTTGAGTCAAGTCAACCTGGTGGCTACAGATTTTCTCGTTCAAGTTCCAGCATCTTCTTAGTCTCTCAGAGTATACCTTGTCACTATGCATGTGGAATCTGCAGCTATTGACAAAATAGTAGATGAATTATTATTACTTCTACTTCTTTTTGGACAGGTATTTAAAAATAAGTCATTGTACCTGAAAAAACATGCATATATACATAAACTCTTTTTACCATCTATTACTCAAAGGGAAGGAAGTTATGCATGTTAAAATTTTCAGCATATTATTTCATTCTAAAATGAATTTTTTAGAATTTTAGGATTCTTAACAAAATGCTTTTTCCTTGGAAGGTAGCACACTTCCCTATGAACTCCCAACATGCTTTTGCAAAGTAAAGCGATATTTTACTAATAGATATTTGGGTGTGGTGAACCATTTACAGTAAATTGTGGGATTTCTTCCGGAGCTAAACTGGAAATGAATTTTTGTCAACATAGCAGGGGTGCTGTTGCTTGGGGATTTTTGTTTGTTGTTTGTTTGTTTGTTTGTTTGTCTCTGGAAAAGCAAACACTTTATTTGCAAGACCATCCAGCAGCTCTGGAGGTGACTGCTGTCACCAGGCCATTCCAAGATTCATCGTCTAGATGGCCACACAGCTGCTTATGCACCCACGGAAGCATTTGGGTTTGCTGCTTGTTTTGTTTCATGTTGTTCTATATTATGTTTGGAGTAAAGTCTGCTTAGCAGGCATGCTACCATTCAGCCATATCCCAGTCACCCTCTGTGACTCATTCTTTGAAATTCAGTGAATGAAACCGCATCTCACCAGTGCTTGCTGAGGTCAGCCGCAGGTCCAGGTTGTCAGTGTACAGTCAGCGAGAGGATTGCACTGTGCAGCCCTGCCTCATTTCTAGTTCACCACTTTATTGTCTGTGCCTCTTCTTGGAGGAGCAGGAATTCAGATGAGTTGCCCATTTCAAGGCATTGGGAAAGCTGTGGGTCAGAGCGGAAGTTTGAGTTTCCTTCATTGCACATAGTAAAATGTGGTTCCTTTCTCAGTCTGAACCTGAAGTCCAGCAAGTCAAAGGGGAATGTGTGTTGCTGGGGTACAAATCTTCATGGAGAAGCTTTAATTCTCAAAATAATTCTATAAACTTGTCTTCCTGTGTGTTTTCTATGAGAGGAATGGAACTTGAATCCCTGGTCGGAAGACTTTTCCATTATCATTGTTTAGAGTGTAATGTGTTCTCATTTTATAGAACAGTGTGAGGTTACATTGGAAAATTAAGGAAAATATTATCTCATTTAAGTAGTGCATTTTCTTGAAAATGATATATATTTGGGTAGTATCCCTTTTTACATTCTGAGATGCCAGGAGTGCTTTTTGTATTTATTTTCATATCTTTTTAAATATGAATGTTTCACTCTGTTCAAAATTAAGAATTTATTTATTCTATCTTTCTCTTAGCATTTTAAATTTTTGTAGAAATATAGCTCTTCACTAAGGTGGAAAACATTTTACTTATTAGATAGAAACATCCCTGGCCTTGCAACCTAAGCCTTAGGCCACTGACCTGACCCCCAGGGACCATCTCTTCCAGGGAGTCTCATACTATACCCAATCCTGTTCAATATGTCAGAGGATCTCAGAGGAAACTAGCACCTTAAATGCCTAGTATATAAGAGAGACTAAAAGTCCTCAAGTATTTCAACTAAAAACAGTCTGTATAACCCCACACCCCCAGTTCTGAATTCACAGCCTGAAGAAATAAAATCATGGTACCGAGACCTGCCTGTGTATCTCATTGTTGTAGCGTTATCTGTAGTAGGGAAAGAAGTATTCACTGGTGAATGAATGAAAGTAATGGACTGAGTAAGAAAAGTCATCCAGCTTTAAAAAAGAATGAAATCCTCTCTTTTCTTTAATATCAAGTGAAATATGCCCAACAGGTCAGGACAGACACTGCATAGTTGTAACTTTTATGTGGAATCTAATCCAACAAGACATTAGAGAGTGGAATGGTAGATACCAAAAGTTTGGAGTTGGAGAAAACAGGGGTATGTTGGTTAAAGACACAATCATTTCAGTTATAAGCTATACTTATTAATGTCATGTGTCATGATGTGCTTGAAACCTCCTTAGAAAATAGTTGTCATAGTCTCACTACATACAGATGTATAAAAGTATGGACTTTGAGCATGGTGTTTCACAATGTGAGATGTCAAAACACCACAGCAGATAAATATTCATTTGTTGATTGTATCTCAGTAAAGATGGAAGGGAGAAACCTTCAGCTAATCCAGAGCACAGTGACTGCTATGCAGTGTTCCAGGGGGTGAAACAAGCGTGGGGACCCTCATTTCACATTAGTGAAATAAATAACAAGATGCATTTCTTACCAAAGTGACATTATGGAGGGCAGCTGTAGTCAGAAGATTTCCTGTGTCCCGGTCTGTGGGCGGTTGGGACAAATCTCTCCCACTCGAGTACCCCAAGTAAAGACACAGAGGCTTATATTAATTATAACTGCATGGCCATGGCCCAAGCTTTTTGCTAGCTAGCTCTTATATCTTAAATTAGCCCATAACTATTAATCTATGTATTGCCACATGTTGAGTGGCTTTACCTGCGTCCCATTACATGTTGCTCCTTGGGCATCTTTGAATTTCCCACCTGCCTCTAAGCTGCCTTGCCATAGGCCAAATGGCCTTAATTATCAACCAATCAGAGCAACACATATTTGCAGCACAGAGAAAGACATTCCCTCATCACTTCTCCTTTTCTGTCTAATCAAAAACCATCAACTTTCCCAATGCACTTAGAGGGCAGGTGAAAAAAATGTTAACTTCAAGTGATTGGGAAACATTTCCAATTTGCAGGTTAGTGAAAGGCAGTGGTTTTGCTATTCATTAAGATGCTGAGATCCGGGAGGAGGTAGGAATAAAGGAGGCTGTTGTGACAACTTAGCCCCACCTTCAGAGCACCAGCCTATTTCAAAGAGAAGGAATGAACACACTTGGCAACAGAAACTGGAAATTGAGAGACTACAAATTAAGGATCTGTTTGCCCAGCCAGCATAATTTATTCTCTATTTTGGCACTGGCTACTCCATTATTTCCCCTTCTGCTGTTCCTGTCTCCTGCTCTCCATTTAACTGAGGGAAAGGCGATGGCACTTGGAGCTGCTGAACAAACAAACACTTCAGTCAAGGACCATCGCTGGCGTTCAGTCTTCCACCTGGGTTGTAGGCTCTGCCCTCTTTTCCTGTGTCTACTTCAAGGTTATTGAGAGTCAGTCATTCCCCAGATGTCACCACAGTGTGAAAAGGAAACCTAAGAGACAGCAAGCTTGTCATGAAGTTAACCTCTGGTCCTAGTACATGGTGCCAGGTGACGTGAACTCGTCTTGCACAAAGGTTAAACTACCTGCACTCCATGTAAGCAACATCATAAGCTCCTTGGATACTTTCACATTAATTAGCCTCTCTCCAACAATAGGAAAATAAGATCTTAATTAATAGGAATTTAAGCTACAATGATACACTGGCTCCACTCGCAGCAAAGGTTAATAATGAATTCACATGCAATTTGAAAATGTGACAATGTTCCATAAAAATATCATTTTTATTGTAAGCAAGTTTTCTGTAGAGATAATTTTTAAAGCGTGTGCAACACTGACATGGATTTTAATTGTTCTTATCTCATTGCTGAGGAAGGGTCTGGATCTTGCTAGATTGCATTTTTTCCCCATAATAGCCACTGTTGCTTCTTGTTTGTTTGTTTCCTTGTCAAGTCCAGTATTATCCAGCTTAGGTTTTTAAAGAATCTGGATGTGAGTGAATTATTTTTAAAGAGATGTCATAGTTTTCATTTCATTACATATTGTTACTCCATACCAACAGGTGGATTCTCCAAAGGTTACAGCGAAAGCAGCCAGTGAGTTGCCAGTTGAGTTCACCAAGAAAGTCTGCAGAGGTCCATGGGCAGCAGGGAGCAAGGGGCGTGAAGAGGGCCAGCCCCGAGCCCTGCCCAGCAGAGCAGCAGCGCTGGTGAGAGTCGGGTGGCCCTGATTTACCCGTGGGACATTAGAATAAACACCTTGGGATACCGACTCCCTGCCCCCGAGGTCAAGGTGGTATGATTTTGTTAAATGTGAACAGAAAACGTCCTGTCCACTGGCAAAATCAAAGCAGCCTACAGCATTTGTTACAGGAACAGAGACAAACACACATGCGGATAGATCTGATTCCTTTTTTCCCCCTAAGAATATAATGGAGCAAACTTGGATTTCTTTCACTGTCTGCAATCCACTAGGGACCCTTCCTCTGCATAAACTGCACTTCCATGATTCCTGTATGCTAACCCTTACCATCCAACGTAAGGCTAGTATCTGCTTGTCAGTAGGCTGTGTTTGGAATTGTTGGGGTGGAGAGTGACTTGCCCTTTGCAGATGACTTATGAAGACAACCGCAAAGTCCTCCCTAAGCTGACATCCTATGATGGGAAAGCAAAGCATACACATTTTATCTGGAGAGAAAAGTAAAGTTTAATTATGTCACAATAGCCAGCATTTCATTTGATTTGTGCACCATCATTCTCGAACGGTTTGAAGCAGTTCACAGTGTGAAACAGGATAATTTAATACCCCCACCTTTCTCACCCTCCACCCAAGAAAAATTGATATATGGGGCAGCTGGGATGTTAATCACTAAACTGAGCACTGAATTTGGCTCTGAACTTCTTGGCAGCTGAGGCAAAAATTAGAAGTAGAGTTATGCATTTCTCATCCAACCAGCAAACAAGTTTATCCAGAGAGAAATGTTGCTGTTAGTGCTCAAAGGAACCTTTTACATTTATTCAGTATGAAATAGCATTATTTGTGGTTTTATTTTAAACTTACATACAGAAATCTACTTCAGATGGGCATATTTTATAGTCCCACTTGTAAAGTTAAACACAAATACTGCTTGGTGACAAAATCAGAAATTCTAAGTCTTTGGTGTGTACTGGACTCTTCAGTCATGCAAGGCAGGGAGGTCCTGTGGAAGAAGACGCCCAGGTTTCAAGTGAAGAAACACATTCACTTTGACCGGCCTGGCAGTGAGATGTATGGGGTGGTGGGAGGTGAGATGTGTTGTGACGTGTGGCGGGACTTGCGGTGTGGGGACGTGTGGCACCTTGTCCTCACTGCTCTAGCAGCCCTTGCTCCTTTCTCTGTCTTCTGATTCTCATCTCATTAAGATATTTATGGAAAATACTGCATTCCTTCTGCTCCAGGTCTGCTGTGGACATTGCATTTCTTCTGAGACATGGAATTACTAGATCATTGTGCAAATAAATATATGTTCAATTATAAAATGTTTATACATGGCCAGATGGCTTAGCAAGTAAAGACGCTTGCCATGATCCCAGGGATGCCCATGGTGAAAAGAAAGAACTGACTCCCATAAGCTTCCCTGTGAACCTCAACACAGGGGCCATGACATGAGCACAGCCCCAACCCCAACAAATAAATAAATTTAAAATGTTGACGAAGACTCCTAGAAAGTGGCTGTAACTTTTATGTTCCCACCAATATGTGCACGTGTTCTGGTATTCCTATACTTCCTTTCCAGCATTTTGTGTTGCAGTCTTTTACAGTTAACTAACACTCACATGTATATTAGTATCAACTTCTGAGTACAGCTATTTATTTGATGACTAATTGAATAGAGGTGGTTACTGGCCATGTATGTATCTTCTATGAAGTGTCTTTTCAAGTACTGTGACTCATTATTTGCATGTGAGTTCTGGAAATCCTTTCCATAGTCCACAGACAAGATCCTTGTCATATTTCTGTAATATGGCTAGCCTCTGCCTACTCACATTGTTCATTCATAGTTGCGTTTTAACTCTCAGTTCCTGTGTATGCCATGGGGTGGGAGTTGAAATCCACGCCTTTTACTTACCTTATCACTGCATTGTTCCTGGGAATTATTATTTTTCTTTTCCTAACTGAACTCCTTTGGATGCTTTTTTGAAAATTAGCTAAGTGTGTCAGTGGGGATTACTTCTGGGCTATTTTCCTCCATTCTGTCTTTCCTGAGATTAGCACCACACATCACATATGAGTGTAGATTTACAGCACATTCTAAAATTAGAAGGGCAACTCCTCAGTCTTCTTTACAAATTTCAGCACTGTAATAGTTAAAGTCTTGCTCCCTCCATAAGATGTATTTTATTCCAACATAATATTTTCATTTATTATTTGGGAATTTCATACAATGCACCCCATTACACTAACTTCCCATTCCTCCCAGGTTCAACCCCCCTCCCCACCTCTGTTCCTTCCCCAGAAAAAGAAAGAAAAAAAAAAAAAAGAAATACACCAAGTTCAATTTGTGTTGTCCATATACTCACTGGAGCATGGTCAAACTTCCAGTGGCCAACCCCTTAAAGATAACTGACAATTTTTTTAAATAAAATTTACCCATACAGTATATTCTGTTTACCATTTTCCCTCATCTCCTCCTGACCTCTCACCCACTTCTCTACACCTTCTTTGTCTCTTTATAAAACAAAATGGCAAATTAAAAATAACAAAAAAAGAAAGAAAATCAAACCAGAATAAAACAAAATAAACAGGAAAAAAAAACAGAAAAAAGCACAAGATACATAATACATATATATACATACATACATACATACATACATACATAGAGACAAACACACATGCATACACACAAAATCCATGAAAACACAAAATCAGAAGCCATAATATATAAGCAAAAGACTCACAAGGTTTAAAACAAAAATGCCCAAGCAAAGCATTATGAGACAAAACATCTCCACACATCCCAGTGTGTTTGTGTTGTGTTGGCCATCTAGTGCTAGACTTAGAGCTGCCCTTAAGTGTAGTTTGTATGCCCATGAGACTTATAGAACAAACTGATTTTTCCTTTGCAAGCAGTTATCAACGGAGATAGCTTCTGGGTTAGAGAGGGGTCTCGTACCCACTTACCCTCTCAGGGCTGGCACCCCATCTAGTTTGATCCTGTGCAGGTCCTGTGTGTACATACTGCCGCCATCACTGAAAGTTCCTATGTGCATCAGCCTTGTCTCCTCGGTGCCCTCCATCCAAACTGGCTCACACAATCTTTCTGCCTCCTCTTCCATTGTTCCCTAAGCCCTGAGGGGAAGGACTTGATGAAGACATCCCACTTAGGGCTGAGTGTTCCCAGGTCTCTCCCTCTGCCATTGCCCAGGTGTGGGTCTCTGTATTAGCTTCTCTATTGATGGCTGAGCAAGTAGTTAGAGTCATTTAATTGCTAAGTTCTTTAGCAGGATAGTGTTTGGTTTTCTCCTAGGTCCTTGGCCTATTGAGTCTCAGGTTCTTGGCCACCTAAGCACTGTCAGGCATGGTTTCTCTGATGGAGTGAAGCTTAAATCCAGTCAGAGTGGTTGGTTCCTCCCACAGATTTTGTGCCACAGTTGCACCCCTGTATCATGTGAACGGGTCACCATTGTAGACCACAGGGTGTGCAGCTAGTCGGTGTTTCCTCTGCTGGTGTGCAGGCTGCCTTCTAGTGTCACGAACACTAGTCAGTCGGGGTAAGGCTCTCACTAGGCACAGACTTGACTTCTTCGTGTTCAGTGAGATATGTAGGTGCTGTCTTTAGCAATAGGGCCTCACCCTCAGTTCATGGAGAGCAACTTGTAGCTTTGGCAAGAGCTGAGATGTTTGGAGATCTCCTTGGGGCCCCTTTGGCCAACAGCTCATTTAGACAGAACTCATTCCTAGCACTGGAGGTTTCATTTGGTGGTGAGAGATGTCTAGTCAGAGCTTTGTTCCTCCCCTCCCCCCATTATGTGGTGATTCCAGTTTAGATGGTTTTCATACATACATATTTTAAGAATGTCCTACTGTAGGTTTTCATATGATCCCCACCACGGTCTCACAGTGCAGCAACTTGGCGCTTTCCTCCATTTGTGCTGGTCTCCACAAAATTTTTAACTTTCTGTATATATGCATACTATATCTTCCCTTCAAAATTATCTAAATATTTCCTTTTATCATAAGAACTAGTTTTCCTATATGCTATAGTCATGATGGCCATGCAGTGTATAAAGACAGGAACTAATATTAGTGAGTGGTTACTAAATCTCAACAGTTCTCTAACTATCAAAGGAAACACTGCCATTCAAGTGTTCAGCAACCTGAGTAGCTTTGTCAAAAATCAGCTCTATGATTGATATATTTATTTATGTTTAATATCTTTTTGTAAAATGGAATAAGTACTTCTATCACGGTAGTTTGTAAACTGATTTCATCATTAATAAGTGATATAATTATGTATATAGATGATCTTAAAATTGTGGTATAAGTACCTATCTCACTTGTATATCTATTTTTTATATATCTGGGGTCACATAAAATTGTTTCACATCAAAAAGGGTCAAGAGTTGAAGAAGTTTATGAAGCCCTGTGTTAGAGAAAGCCTGGGATACTATAAGCTTTTCAGTAATCAATTCTGATGAGTGCTTAAAAACTAACACTAGTAGAAATACAACCGATCGAGCATGTGATGGCTCACTCTTATAATCCCAGAGCCCAGAAGGCTAACACAAGAAGGTTGCCATGAGTTTAAGGCCAGCCTGGGCTACATATTTCTATATAATCGAATCATGGCCACTTCTGAGTCACCTGCTGGGTGACAGAAATCCTAGAGAGATGAAACCTAGAGCCATCTTGGGCAGGTAGGTCACCCTGCCCAAAGATTTCCTTAAATCTCTGAATCAAATTCATGGTTTTTCACTTCTGAGTCTGTAGTGCATGATGCTGTGCCTATCCCTGGGATGCTCTCAGGGCATCTGTCCTGTTGTATTCTAGGTTGATCATATTTATGCTGTTGATCTGGGACTTTGTTGAGCTTCTTTTATGCATGATTTCACTTTGTCATCAAATTAGAAGTTTTCAACCTTAACTTCCTCATGTTGTTTCCCTCTTTCCTTCTCTTCCGCCTTAGTCCCAAGCACATGCATGTAAGATTATTTGACATGAATATATGGGCAGCTGAGGCACTATTTTTTTAGGTCACTCTTGATATTTGGATGTTTCTTTGTTCCAATGGCAGGGTAACTGTCAAGTCATCAGTTTCTAATTAGCAATTGGACCTAGCCAGTAAAGGTTTGAATTTTCCATGTTGTATTTTTCAGCAGATTGGATTATATTTTCATATATCTGCTAAGATCCCTTTTAATAAGTTTTAACTTTTCCTCTAAGTCCTCCAAAGTGTTTGGAATCTGTTCTGGCAGTGGATTTTATATTTTTTCTTAATTAAAAAACTATTGTGTACCTGTGTGTTTCTATATATGGGTTAAGTGCACATTAGTACAGGTGCCCAGAGGCCATGGGATAACCTGGACTTACAGGTGGCTGTGGATGCTGGGAACCAAACTTGGGTCCTCTGCAGAACCAGTACATGCTCTTAACCACCAAGCCATCTCTCCACCTCCCTGGAAGTAGATTTATTCACTTATCTTGATCATAGTATGACTTCTATTTATAGTTTTTCTTCTGATCTGGTCTACACTAAGCATAATCTTAAATTGCAGACTTTCTGAAGTCTAGGCTATTTTTCTTCTTTGTGTATTCCTTGTTAGTTTGAGACTCTTTTTTAAAGTGGCTTTATATACTTTTGTCTAATTTTATTGTTTTGTGTCTATTTCATCAGCTTAATAGCAAGAGGTTGTTGGAGACCCATTAAGAATGGCCTGAATAGAAGTGGCATTGGTATTTTCACAGCTCCCCAGGTGACTCTAATGTGCATTTAAGGTTAATAAGTATTCCAAAGATGGTCTTCTGGAAGCAATACTATTGGCACTTAGAGTTGAGCTATTTGCTGTAGGATGACGGTCCTGTATGTTGTAGGATGTTAGGCAGCATTCCTGGTGTGTAGCCCCTAGATGCTAATAGTACTTCCTCCTAGTTGTGACAACTCAAATATTTCCAGAAATTGTTCTCCTCTGTGTTACCATCACTCAAGGTTGAGGGCCAGTGTACTACTGATAGATCTACTGATAGATTACTGCACTGCCTAAGGCTTTCACTGCGCATGTGAACCCGCTGTGCCAGTGAATTACTGATCGATCTCTGCACTGCCTTAGGCTTTCACTGCGCATGTGAACCCACTGTGCCAGTGTTATACAGGTTTGAGTGACAGAGTTGCAGCCACACATACACCCCAACTTGAGAGAGCTATATTTTAACATGATCATCTGTTTGCCTTATATTATAGTCTGATGTGAGATGTCACTTATAACCATTCATGTTGGAATACTTGGTTCCCAGTTGATGGTAGTTTGGGAAGCTTGTGGCTACTTGAGGAGATGGAGTCTTACTGGAGGAAGTGAGTTACTTGGGAACACTGACACTTTGCAGCTCAGCCATCCTTCTGTTCATCCTCTGCTTCGCTGTGTGGCTGCTCCGTCACCAGCTGGGCTGCTGCCGCCACCACTGTGCTGTCTCGGCGTGCCTCCGTGAAGAGTCCTTTCACAGTTCTGCCAGGACTGTGAGCCAGAGGAAGCCCTTCCCCTCTAAGTAGTTTTGTCAGGGTGTTTATCACAGAGAAGAGGAAGTGACCAACTGACCTTCTCATCTATGTCCAAGAATTTCTTATTCAGAGATCAGCAAACACCTTCTCAGTGCAAGGATCAATCACATGCACTTAAGCAAACACTTTACCATAGAGTTACACTCCAGCCCAGCAAAATTTTTCTTAAGTGTCTAGATTGAAAATATTTTTGGTTTTATAATGCATAGTTTGCCAGAACTAATTAACTGTGCTATTTCAGTGCAAATAGCAACCATAGATGAAACATAAACAAATGGACAAGGCTGTGTCCCAATAAACTATTAACAAAACATCCAAGTATTTTGTGAAGAAAATTTGTAAGCTTGTCTCATAGCCTGCCTTCTCAACCAGTATATCAACTTCTTGTGTGATGTCACCAGTTGTTACTGAGACACTGGAAAAGTCACAGAAAGTCCCTCTTAGAATCTTAGTGTGATCTGTCCCTAACTAGGTATATATCCAACTTCCCAATAGTTCTTGGCCTTGGAAATGTATTTGGTTGTGTGTTTCTTTCCCTTTAAGTGAGAATGATTTGGTATCCTGGAGAAAAAAAAAGTCACTTATTTTCTTTTAGTAATTAAAACTATCAGTAAAGTTATTCTCATCAGAATCTCAAATAATAATCAGCTTCTATTTAATAAGAAAGATCTCTCTTTTTTTTTTTTTTTTTTTTTTTTTTTTTTTTTTTTTTTTTTT